ATACCTTCGCAGTCCAATTGAAGCCTTTCGACACAAAGAGATGGGAAATCTTAGAAGCCTCGGCCGTCGGCCGTCGTCGGTCCAGCAGGTAGCGAGGTCGGCCGTCAGTTTACTCCCAGACTACGAGCGTGTAAAGTGACGATTGGGAATTGGCTTTGGGATGGGGTTTTCAATATTTGGGTATTTGGGCTTTAAAAAATAGATATGGACAGTGGGCTTACCGGGCTGGACTATTGGACCAATTGGGAATTAAATGGACTATTCGGTCTAATCGGTCCGGACCGAAACCCGATCGGGTTTGGACCGGACCGGACCAAAACCCGAAATGTAAAATACATAGGACCGAAGACCGACCCGAAATCGATTCGGTCCGAGTTCGGTCTGGACCTATCGGTCCGGTTCGGTCGGTTTTTTCGGTCTGGACCTAAACATGAACACCCATAACCATTTATATTAACTTTACATTATAACTAAATATGGAAAATTATTATTTCCAAAAAATAAGAAAAATTGTGTGCAATAATCTCACCTTCAAGTGATCTTCCAAAAATAAATATACTTTTCAATGTTAATAACTTCACCTTTTTACGTGTGTGCCAGTTTTGAATCACTGTTAGAGAAAGGTAACATTATATTGATCTAATGATTTTTTTAAGTTTTATTTTGCGTAAAGAAATTAAAGGTTAAATTATTTGAGGTAAATTTTCTTCATTTTTTAAATTCTTTTTAAATTTTAAAAGTTGACATTTATTTTTCATGAACATAACACTACATTATTGCCAAAAAATTTTTGTCAATCTTTTAAAAATATAACTATTGTTCGGGGAAAACATTAGAATTGGCTAATGTCATTTTGCAAAAAAAAACTAGAAAATATCCAAAAAAAATTACTAGAATATATAGTTCCCCATTTTGGGTGAAATATCCAAAAAATAATAATTGTAGAACGAAAAATTACAAGGATTTACAGAAAAATAATTCATGTCGCTTATGAAAAAAATTTGAACATAGTATAGGAAATATGTGTTGAATTGTCAAAAACATTAGTTCCAATCTAGGAAAAGAATTTTCTTCCGATAATTCATTCAAAATAAAAAAAGTCATGAAACAACATTTAAAAAGTTGAGAAATTGGTGCTTCAACCTTTTATGTTTATGTTTAGGGGAAGAAAAATTTGCTCCAAATAGAACTAAAATGTAATACGTTTTTCTGAATAGGACCAAATATGTTTTATTTCTTTTATGATTCATATATAGTTTTATTTCAAAATGACAATACAATAAAAGTTGGGAGCCAATATATTTTTAAAAGACTTACACGAATCTTCAAAAACAACGTACTTTTATATTTTTAAAAATATTATTTAAAAGTTATAAACATAGAAAAAATTTATAAAAAAAATTTGCTTCAAATAATTCCACCTTATATTTCTTTGCGCAAAATAAGCCTTTTAAAAAACTCTAAGGTCACCATTACATATCTAACGGGGACCCAAAACTTGTACATAACAAAAAAGGTGAAATTATTACGTGTAACATTGAAATTTAGATTATTTTTGGAAGAGCGAGTAAAAGTGAGATTATTTGAGAAAATTTTCCTAACTAAATATACTTATTCATAATTTATAATCTAAAATTTGACAACAAAAAGTCAAGGAAAAAAATAATTTTTAGGAACGAAGAAAGAAGTAAATTTCTTTCCATTCATGAAAACAATTGGAATGAAAAAAATCACTCAAAATAAGAGTAAAACATAGCTTTTATTTTCAAAGTATGATCTTCATATTTTTATTTCCAAAAGTGGGGTTTGCACAATGATAATGTTGCATTATATTTTGTACATAATTGGCATTCTACGGTATTTTTTGATATTATAAATTGACATTATCGATACTGTAATTTCTATTCCATAAATACAAATATGAAACTCTTAGAGTTTGCCTATATTTACTCTTAATTTATTCTTTTTCCTTAAATACAATGAAATACTGTGATAGTGAGAAAGGAAAGGAAATAAATGGTGAAATGAAAAAAAATAATGATCCGTATCAGTTATTCTCACTGTATTTCACTACGGAGTATTTCATAATGTTGTTGCCTTTATGAGTCTCTAACAAATTATCACAGTTTTGACATTCTTTGACCAGGATTTAAATATAATTTAAAATAAATATATAATATAAAAATTTAATATTTCAAAACTATATTTTAAAATAAATCCAATTTTACTAAATTTACATTATACTCCCTCCGTCCCCAATTTGATTACAAATTGAGGTTTACGAAGAAAAATATCTCACTTTTTGAAATCATTTTATTTACAAATCGTTATTTTGATAAGAAATAAAAATTACATATTAAAAAACTATGTCAAAAGTTTTACAAAACAAAAGTTGAAAAGAATATTTTATTTTATCAAATACTTAATGAAATCACGTAAACAAACAAAAGTTATCGAGAGGAGAAAGTAATCAAATTGAGGACGGAGGGAGTAACTAAATATATTTTCTCCATAGTTCACGATTAAAGCGTGTCATGCACAGTTTGACCAAAAAAAATCAAAATGTGACAATATAGAGAGATACCCATAAAAGAAGGACCACCGGAGTAATATTTGATAATAGAGGACTAAATTTACAAAGTTCTCTATTATTAAATATTACTCTGTTGGTCCTTCTTTTATGAGTATATTTTCACAAGTAGTTTGTTTTTATTTTGATCTTCTGTCACGTTAGTCTTATTTTGAGAAGTAAAATGTCATTTCACAATGAACATATATCATTCTTGTCATACACAATTCCGAGGTCGCTTATGATGCATGGTATGTAAAGTACAGTTGTTTTCTACTACAATCATAGCCTACATATATAGTTTTTTGTTTGTCTAACTGACATCAGAATACGTCACATGACAAAATATTGATTTCAAATTAGACTTTTAACTCTCAAATTAACATTAACATGATAGAAAGTAAAAAAATACTATTTGTGAAAGATATCCATAAAAGAAGGACCACCGGGTTAATATTTGATAATAAAAGACTAAATACGGAAACTCCCCTATTATAAATGACCATTTGTAGAATTTACTCTAATAATAATAATAATAATAATAATAATAATAATAATAATAGAAATATAGTAATAATAACTTAATCATATTTATCATTATTATTACTATATAATTATATATCTCTCCGTCTATAAATTTTCTTCCTGTTTTGCATTACGATATTTGACCGAAGTTACATTTAATTTATTTTATATGAAAACTGGTGTGAAACTAAAAAAATAAAAATTATACTTGAAAACTACATCAAAACATTTACAAATTCTAGAGATGACATGACTATATTATTTTCTCAAATGCGCAACGAAAAAAGACAAACCATAGTCTACAAATGTGGTATTTCATCAAAATCCTACTATGAATTGCAATCGCTTTCTACCATAGCCATAGTCTACAAATGTGGTCTTTCGTCAAAATCCTAGTCCACAGTCATAGTCATTATTGTTGTGTTGTCTGTCTAACCGACATCAAAATACGTCACTGGAAAAAAGATATATGTCAAATTATACTTTTAGCCCTCAAATTCACAAAAGGTCAAAAAGGACTATTTATGGAAATATACTCATAACAGAAGGGTCATAGAGACAATATTTGATAGCAGAGGACTACATAGAGAAATCTTGTTGTTATAAAGGACAATTTATAGAATTTATTCTAAAACCAATTGGAATGAAATTAATTATTTATCATTTCCTTTATTTGTAGAGTTGTTATTCTGTGGTCCTAAGGCTCCGTTCCGCTCAACTTATTTTTTCTGATCTGATCTGATTTTTTGTAGTTCTGATCTCGTCTGATCTGATCTGATTTTATTCGATCTGATCTGATTTGGTCTGATCTGATTGGATCTGATCTAATCTGATCTGATCTGATTGGATCTGATATGATCTGATTTGATTTAAAATTCAAATCAATAATTTGATTTGACTTTATAATAACGTTTGAAAATTGTACTAATACTTCATATTATAAAATAATCAATATTTTTTATTTTATGATTATTTTTTAATAAAATTAAATTAGTTAATTCATATCTTAGAATAATCATTCATATTATAATGTAATAATATTTTTTATTTTATGATCATTTTTTTTGAAATTAGAATATTAATGTAATATTTTAATAATTACTTCATATAAACATCAGAATAAATATTTAATTTATACATACATCAAAAAATAATTAAATATAGATAATCAATATATAAAAGAGATAGTATTTTTATTAAAATATATCATCCTTATAAAAGATCAAAACTGGTTGGGAAAACTTAAAACCGCAAATCGAATCGAAACCAATCGAAACGAGCTAGAAAAAAACCAAACCAAATGTAAAAAATCAAACCGAACCGTTATTGTTTGGTTTCTGTTTTAGTTTTCACTTTGGAAAACCAAATCGAACTGAATAAACCAAACTTTTTTTAGTATTTCCCTTTATCTATATGAGTATATGTGATATGTAAAAAACAATAGAAATATCTTTATATCTTTTTCTTTATCTTTATATATTAAATTGTAACACCCTAATCCGTCCAACTCTGCAGCCCCTTTCGGACTAAAGTTTAAACTTGTTATTCATAAACATTCAAAATATTTCAAATATTTTAAAACTTTATTTCATAAATAAATTATTCGGAATAACAACGGAGTATTTTAAAGTTGCGGAAGCTTAATAAATCACAATTACAAACATAATAAATTTATGTCTAATAAAATAGTAATTCAAATTCACACATCCATCCCGACCATCTCGTCCCAATTGCCACCTGGAATTCATCATTTCATTATTTTTGTTTACCTACGTGTAGCAAATAAAACATACTACACGCTCAGCAGTAAAGCTGAGTAAGGATATCTAATGCGTCGAACATCCATATAAATTGAATCTCAATTGATAATCAAATCATTTGATATCATGCACATAATATTCAATTCAAGCATTTATCATTAATGATATTCACAATATTTTAATTCGAGTCATTTCATGATTTATACAATATTCAATATTCAGTATTTCGACAGTGCTCTTACATTATTCTTAATATAAGGCTAAATCATTTTGATAACAAGCTCTTAAACTATTCATAGTCTATGATAATATTTCTAACCAGGCTCTTAAATTATAAATAGTTTAAGGCAGAACACAAGAGTCGATGATCCATCCTATGAGTCTTATGGATCACGTACCAACTAATTAGTGAACTATCGAGTGGGTGATATCCTCAAACGAGTGATCCTCGAGTTTAGTTTGAATCACGTACATACATTTTAACCTTAGATTTCTGAATTCGTCACATAGGTATATGTTAGAGTTCTTCAAGATATCCTTAACATCAATTATCTAAATGGTATATCTTAGAGTTCTTCTAGATAACCTTAACAATACACATCATTTTCATGATCATCAATATATCTATTTTTAGTCATGATTTAATCATTCATAATCATTATTTTAATCAAAATATTTATTAAAGCTTAGTCATCATATATGTTAATCAATAATATTCATCATAATCATCAATCAATAATAATCATCATAATATCCAATCGCAATTAGTGGTCAGCATCGAGTGTTAACACCCTTAGCTTACCGTCATACATCACATAATGTTTTTATTCGTTAAAAACATCATTTTTATTTCAAGAAATCATCGTTATATTGATCATAATTGATTGGTATCAAAAATAGGATTTTAGAGCTCAAAAGTAGCATTTTAGAAAAACATATTCAGAAGAATCAGCTCGGGGGATCGATCCAGAGCTGGTGATTGATAACCAGGTGATCGATCTTGTAATCCCCCGAAAATAGGCCTATCAGAATTAATTAATTAATAATTAATTAATTACTGAGAAGGACTCAAAAATAAGTGATTTATAAAGTTTGTCAATAAATAATGAAAATTTTATCGTTATGTAGAGTTTGACTTCTGACCACAACGGTTCAATCGGATTCCAATTCGCAGAAAGTTGGACCAAAAAGTGTACCCCGATTGGGATCAAAATTAGTCCCAATCAGGGACTTGCGTTTAAAATCCGTAGGAATCGCAACCAGGCGCACTAGCCGATCAATTGCATCACGAACAGCAACCTCCCTGGCCTCTTCCTTCTTCTTCTTGCTATATAAGGAAAGCCTACTACTTCAATTCTTCACCAAAATATTCTATTTCTTCTTCTATTTTGTTCCTTGTTGAGAGAGGAGTGCAGTGGTGCTGCCAATTTGGTGTGAAGTTGCCGAAGCTAGCCACTATCCTCGCCGGAAGTTTCACGAGAAAACTTCCAAAACCTTCATTAAGCTTCGAGGTAAGCCCGTAGATATATATAGTGACTAGAATGTCCGTATAGATCGTTTCTACGTTCATAAATGATCGTTTGGTTGAGTTTTGTGTTTGATGTGCTTGAAGAACTAAGAATCATAAACCTTGAAATTGTTGTTAAAACCATGAATTAATGATATCAAAATGATAAATGAACCTTGGAGAACATTTCTATATACTCCCTCCGTCCAAAATTAAACTTTACATTACGCGTTACGATGTTTGACTGAAGTTATTTTCAAATCATTTTATATGAAAAATGGTGTAGAATTAAAAAATAAAAATTACATATTAAAAAACTATATCAAAAGATCTACAAAACTAGAGGTGACATGACTATATTATTTTATCAAATGGGTGACGAAAATAGGCCAACAAAGTGAATAAAGTTTGACCATGTGAATAGTGAACGTAAAGTTTATTTGTGGACGGAGGGAGTATATAGTTTAGTTGAAGTTTGGTGACTAAAAAAGGTATTTTCCAAATTGGACCCGAAACAAAGAAGAAGACGATAGTGATTGAAAAACAAGAGGATGGATCGATCCACCCGATTGGATCAATCCCCTGGGTGTTTTTCTGCTATGGTGGATCGATCCAAGGTGCTGGATCGATCACCCGAAATTCTGACCCGAAAATTTTTCTGAAAATGCTATTTTTGAGCTCTAAAATCTTATTTTTGATACCAATCAACTATGATAAAAATAAATATGATTTGTGGAAATAAAAATGATATTTTTGATGAATAAAAAGGTTATGTGATGTATGATGGTAAGTTAAGGTGTTAACACTCGATGATAGGCCGCTATTTGTTATTATTGATTGATGATTATGATGAATATTATTGATCTATGATTATGATGATTAAGCTTTAATATTCTGATTTAAGTAATGTTTATGAATTATAAATCATGACTAAAAATGGACATATTGATGATCACGAAAATGATGTGTAGTGATAAGGATATCTAGAAGAACTTTAAGATATACATACGTGACCAATTCAGGAATTTCGGGTTAAAATGTACGTACGGGGTCCAAACCGGATATTACCCACCCGACAGTTCATTGTTTGGTTGTTACGTAATCCACAAGACTCATAAGGTGGATTATCGATTCTTGTGTTCTGCCTTAAACTATATATAGTTTAAGAGCTCGGTTAGAAATATTGTCTTAGACTAGGAACAGTGGCGAAGCTAGGAGCTAACTATCAAGGGGGCACACTACACGGATTCGAGAGTAGCGCGCCTAAAAAAGATTAAAAGACATGATTGAATAACAAAAAAAATAAATTTTATCTCAATTAATTCCAAATATAACATTAAAATGACAATATTATCAATTATACAATATGTAAATTTTTAGCAAATTATTTGTTCAATTTGTTTTTAAAATCTTAGCAAATCACACTTTAATTGAAAAAAAAATAATATCATTTGCAATTTAATAAATACTCGTAATAATACTCCCTTTGTTCTAATGTATTTGTCCAATTTGACTTTTTTAGGTCAAATTGAACAAACTTTGATCTTCAATTAAATAAAAACGGTAATGTATTTTAAAATGAAACTGACATTATTAGATTTATCGTATTAAGAAATTTCGAAAATGAATTTTACTATACTAACATGCAATAAAAATTTAGAGTAATTGAAACTCAAAATTTGTCGAGTTTGACTCGAAAAAGTCAAACTGGACAAATATACTGAAACGGAAGTAGTAATATCTATAGGCTACAAAAATAAAAATTATAAATTCTCAATTAAAATAGAGAGTATGAATTTATCATCCTTAAACAAAAAATCAACAATTACTTTATAAATTTAAATAATTAAGGGGTTGAAGCCTTCTTTGACACAAAAATACCCGGATTGTTGTATGCTGCAGCCTTGATGGTCGAAGCCCGAAGGGAATATTGGATGACCAGAGAGAAATGAGGAAACCAATTAAAATCAATCTTTAATTTAAAATACAAACGGTGCTGTTTTACAAAAAGAAATAAACCCTATTTGCTGGAAAGAATAACAAAGCTTCAACTTCACCTAGGGCCGCCGCGCGTAGGTGGGGCACCCTCACTGTTGTCAGTGCTAACAATTACCGACGCCGGTAAATAAAACTCTTTGCCGGCACTTCGCTGGGGGGCACGTGCCCTGGCAGGCTCCCCCTCTCCTCCGTCCCTGACTAGGAATAGCTAAGAGCTTGTTATTAAATTGATTTAGCCTTAGATTAAAAATAATTTAAGAGCACTATTGAGGTACTGAATATTGAATATTGTACAAGATGACTTGAATTAAATATATAGTGAATATCATGAATGATGAATGCTTGAATTGTATAATGTGTGCATGATATCAAATGGTTGATTATGAATTGAGATTCAATTTGTTTGGGTGTTCGGTGCATTAGATATGGTCATTTACGAACCAAAAATTTCAGCTTTGGTTGGCAGTTTCTACACCAAGATTATCACTAGATGGTCATTTACGAACCAAAAATCAGATTCAAGTATGCAACATATGAAGCTAAAGCCAATTTGAAAAAAACAGATTTTCTTGATCCTTTAGCCCTTCTAGTACAAAATTCAGCATGTATGGATCACAATATGAATGTAAAGTCATGCTATGCGCCTTCGAATCAGTTCCTATGCAGGTTTTAACAATTAGGATTCATGTTTAGGCCATAAGCATTTAAGGAACTCAAAAATCAGCTTAAACATCAAGAAAAGATTGCTGATTTCTTCTTTTAAAAAAATGACACTTTGGATCAGATTTTTTCTAAAATTAGCACTTAAAGCTTCAAAATCAGTATGAAAACATTACGATTTGCTTCAAAATATTGCCCCCAAGCAAGATATATCAATTATAGTTCATATTTGAAGCAAAGGAGCACTCCAAGGAACAAAAATCAGCATATAAGCTAATTAAAAAGTGCAGATTTTTTTTTAAAATTCAGCAAGCATAGCTTATGAAATTCAGCAAGAACACCATTCAAATGATTCAATGCTTATAAAAATGAGTATACACGTGTTGCATACATCAAAAGTGAAACAACTCAGCACTTATGTCATTCAAATACAACAAGTATGATCAATAAAAACAAAAATCAGCAAGTAAAAGTAATGAATATTAGTTTCAAAATGCAATTTTTATGAAAAATTGGCCAAAAGTCTCACAAAAATAGCAAATTGAGCACAATTTCAGCAATCCAGTCAATAAAAAAAACTGCTTTAAGTTTGCTATTGCTATTGCATTCGTAACCTCAAAAGCTGCTTTCAAATAGTGTAGGTTTTTCAAATAGGCATTGACAAATAAGAGCTGTTGAGAAAACATCACCTAGATTATCCAAAATAAGCATATGTGCTCTTTAAAAGTCAAAAATCAGCAAATAAGCATGCTAAAAACAGTACTCGACGTGCAATTTTTTTTTGAATGGTACCAAATTCTTCACAAAATAGCATAACGGGCACAATTTTTAGCACGAACGCAAAGAACAATGCTGATTTCATATTTCTCTCAACTTTTTAGATTGAAAACTTTTTGAGCACATGATTTGCGTTGCCTTTATCAACATGGTTCCACACAAACAAGAACAAAGAACACAAAGACATACTAAACTGATTTCGTACAAAACTTTCCCCGGCAACGGCG